ATATATATATATATATATATATATATATATATATGCATGAAAGTAATCGAACACTTATAAGAAATTTTTATGTACCTACATATTTTGAAATTTCTTTGATACTGTAATAAAAAATGATTATTATGATTATATTGGTAAAATTTAAGACAAATTTAAAATAAGTATAGAAATTACGAAATATTTAATACAAGCATATTTTCAGAAATCACAAAAATATTTGAACAACTATATTTTAATATAAATAAATATTTTATATTTTATAATTATAAATATTTTATATTTAATATAAATAAATATTCTATATTTTATAATAAATTTAGTAGAATTATTTTTAATATTTATCATATTCTATTTGTATTGTATTCTAATTTTTAACTAAGTTAAATAAATTACTAAGCATTACTTATAAATTAATTTTTTGCTAAATTAATAAAGCTTGCAGTAAATAATTATTTTACAATTGTCCAATTGGTTTAAAATTTTACCAATATATAATTGTTATAATCGTCTCTTATTATAGTGTTAATAAAATTTGAAAATATTCAAAATGTAATACATACATAAATGTAGTAAATGCTCGAATATTTTCTTAATATATTCTTAATATATTGCTTCTAACAACGTATATATAATAAGAACGCACAAATTAACATAAAATGATATTTAAAAAACAAGATAATGTAGGAAATTGTTCATAATTTACGTAACAAAGTTGACTCAAAATTTATGCAACAGAAAAAAATTTATACATACATTTAATAGATACACATACCTACAGTGATAGATAAAGGAGAATTAAAAATTTATTTTTTCTGTATTAATTAACAATAATAATACTATTTCTTTCGTCAATCAGAATTCAGTTTTATATTTTACAATGTACGCACTTGTTTCTCTTATTTCGAGAGAAATTGTCAATATTAATATACTTTATTGAATTGTATTACAAATAGATTCCGTTTATCGAATTTTTCTAGAGTATTGGAAATTCGTAATATTGAATTGTAATGAATACGTTACAGATATATACATCCAATATTTACATAAAAACTGGCTTATTAGGAAAGATACATTTTATATAAAAAATAAATAATAACAGTTTCATCACAATCTCATTATGTTCAGTGTTAAAGTCATTATTTTGTATTTACATTATATGCAATAATACCATAAATATAATTATAATTATAATAGAATGTCACTGTATATTTATTTTACATATAATATGTGTAATATTATTTATATTATTTGTAATATGTATATCGTTTTTCATTTATATTACGTTTATAATACTAAATACAAAAAATACAAACAAA